TTTTCTGAAGAAGGGTCTAGGCCCGAAACATCAGCCTCTCTGCTCCTATGATGCTGCTTGGCCTGCTGTGTTCATCCAGCCCTGCACCTTGTTGTCTAAGATCCTGAGGCAACCAGGTTGTTGGTTAGGGAATGTCGTTTAAGGAAAAACAGTTCTTTTTAAAACGGAGATGAAAATTTATTTCTCTCAAAGGGTCATCAGGGTATAGAATCCTATTTGCCAGAAGGTAATGGAGTCTGGATGTATAAATTTATTCAAGGCTGAGTTAGATTTTTTAACAGAGTTAGGGGTCATGGGGTGTCGATAGGAAAGTAGAACTAAGACCATAAATAGATCAGCCATGGCTATATTGAAAGATGGAGCAGGTCCAAAGGCCCATTGGCCTATTCCTGCTCCTAACCCTGTGTTTCTATTCAAGTGCTTTCTCTTGATCACTGGATAACACACACTGTTAAGTCACTCTGGTCCAGTTATAACTTGGTTCGTATTTACCATTCTCTACAATGTTAAGGAAATCCAGATACACTTATTCTTACGGCATCGCTGATTTGTGCTTATAGTGCTGTCTTTTGTCGGCTCCACTGTTTGATGAAGGATCAATTACATACGTGATAACTGCAGTAACTGCTTTGTAATTTAAGTTGGTTGTTATGTCAGGGAGGTACGGTATACTTTTTTTGACTGAATGCTTATCCACCGTTCATCTTTGATTTCTTAATTGCTTGTGCCGTCGACAAGCATTGACTTATCAGAGTATAGTTTCTTAAGGACTTTACTGTTTCTTTGTAGTGACTCTTCTTCCTGGGTAGGCTGATACAATGAATGTCGACAGTCAGTCTGACTATGAGATTACTATGGCTAAGGCTGAGAAGTGTTGCATTTGAATGGCGTGTGCACACATGCATTTCCAGCAAGGGTTAACATTAATGGCTTGGAGTGGACACCATCAGCTGTCAACCTTGGCTTGATGGGTAACACTTTTCTAGCCTGGGTTCAGAAATATGACCACAAATATTTAAACCCGTGAAAGATCTAGATTCGAGTCTGACCTCAGGATATGATGGTCATAAAAAATTGTGTCATAAAAGGACTTGTGTGGTGCAGCAGTAACGTCCTTCCCTCTGGGCTAGGAGGTCTGGGTTCAAATCTCACCAGCCCTGGAGGTGTGTCATAATATGTCCAAACTGGTTGATTAATAATACTCCATATTGATTGTCTTTTCAAGCAAGCACTAAACAGAGGCACATCTGTATCCTCAGGTGAACAGAAGGGATTCAACAGTAATATTGCAGAGAGGAGCAGGGGTGTGTTCGCCAGTTTATCTGCCCTTCAGCATCACAAAAACAGATTATCTGATCATACAATTCATTGCAGTTTGTGGGAAGTTGTTGTGTACAGTTTAGCTGCCACACTTCTTGCATGACAACATAATGCACTTTCAAATGTTCTGAATTTGTAAATATAAGGTATTTCTTTCTTTCCTTTTGTTTCTTCAGCAATGCTAGCGCCCCTATCATTGTTTCGACTAAGATACGTAACTGAGAATTTAATCTGGAATCTTCACCGGGGAACCCCTCAGATTGATTGATTCTTGGTTGATAAAGGTATCAAGGGATAGGGGGCAAAATGAATGAATGCTGTTTGGTCACAGATCAGCCGTAATCCCACTGAATAGAAGAACAGGCCTGAGGAGCTAACTGACCTACTCCTGTTCTTATTGACCTGCTGCATGATGGGGGTAGGGGGTGTTTCATACTGGTTTTGTTCAAAGTTTTCAATAAAGACGTCTAATTTTCAGTTGTTCCTCTCATTCTCCTCACAGCTGTCAGCACTGAGATTGAGAAACCCGGGGAGAAGAGAGATGTCTTATTGCTGTTAGAAAAAGGAAGGTAGACAATGAGTTTAAATTATTCCAGTTACGTCGGTGAGATCTATTGCATGCACAAAGTATCCAAAAGCTTATAAATATGCTGTGTTACAATAGGGTATTTTTATTATCAATTTTAATGTAAAATGACAGAATTAAAGGCCTGTGGATAATTAAATGTTTTAGTGTTTAAAAAAATGGCTGTTAATTTAAGAAATTGCAAACGATCATGTTTTAAACATAAGTTTTCTGAGATCTATTTACATCCAACACTTTATAATTGCATTGGTATTCAGTTAATACTTATTCATATTTTAGTGTTCTGTGGCTGATATTAATCCTTGAGCCCCCGTATAATGGGAGTAACACATTAAGACTGTTAAATCCCTTCATTCAGATTGGTGCCTTGATGTACCCAGGTATATTGTTAATTTATGCTATTTATCTTCATTAATCAGTTGGTAATTTATTTTATGATATATTTGCAATTGGGAACAGGGTTTCAATTTCAGATGCAATCTGAAAAGAGCAAGTTGGTCCCAAACCCACAATGTATTTGAGCCTTTTTAAAAAAAAAAAAATTATACCAAAGTAACAAAAAACATCTATGTATAAAACAAGCTATTTTCTGTGTTTTATTAACCTGGTTATTCACAAGCAATAGACTAGAGACTGAGTAAAACTGCTTATTCCTTGTGATAAACCCACTTTCAGCTGTATTAATAAAGTTGCACCAGATTTTGATTGAAAAAGGTGTGCATTTTTTAAAAAATATTATTCTATTGTGGCTTGTGGGCATTGCTGGCTGGCCAGCACTTACTCCCCCTCCTTTGAGAAGGTGCTAGTGAGCTGCCTCCTTGAACCACTACAGTCCACCTGTTGTGGGTTGACCCACAATGCCAGTAGGGAGGGAATTCCTGTGCATATGAAAATGCTGACTGATTCTGTGTTCACATATGTAGAAGGGAGTTTGTCAGCAACTTGGGTGAAAGGAAATAAAAAACTAAAAAAAGTTCTTAAAACAAGAAGATGCCTTGGTCAGTATTTATCTCCCAGTCAACATCACAAAAACAAATTACAAATTACTCATGTTATGTGTTGTTTATGGTACCTTGCTGCTTTAAGAAGTGCTTTTTTTGCCCTTTTCTCAAGTTGCGCCTTCAGCTCCTTTCTTTACATCTGAATATAAAATCAAATAGTATTTTCAAATTGACTTTTGAAACCTTGAGGTAACTTAGTGCAACTTTATAAGCTCAACAACAAATAGGTTTATCCCAAGCATAAGCATTTTAAACGACTGATGTCTAGTACGCCAACTCTGAATAGCCAAATTTTAAACGATTGATGATGGTTTTAATATCTGGCTTTTTTTCTTTTCTTTTCACTCACGGGATTTAGGCATCTCTAGCTAAGTCAGAATTTATTGCCCATCCACAATTACCCAGAGGGCAGTTAAGAGCCAACCATGTTGCTTTGGGTCTGGAGTCACATGTAGGTCAGACCAAGTAATCGAATACCTACAGTGCAGAAAGAGGCCATTCGGCCCTATTGGTTCTGCACCAACCTTCTGAAGAATGACACATCTCCCTAGCCTATCCCGTTTCTCATAGCTAATCCACTCAGCCTGCACATCCCTGGACCCTATGGTGCAATTTTAGCATTGCCAATCCATCTTAACTGCACAGTTTTGGACTGTGGGAGGAAACTGGAACATCTAGTGGAAACCCATGCAGACACGGGGAGAATATGCAAACTCCACACAGACAGTCACCCAAGGTTGGAATCAAACCCAGGTCCCTGACACTGTGAGGCAGCAGCGGTAACCACTGTGCCACCAATAAGAGTGACAGATCTCCTTCCTTAAAGGAGATTAGTGAACCAGATGGGTTTTTCCTGACAATCAGCAATAGCATCATGGTCATCATCACCTTGATTCCAGATTCTTTACTGAATTCAGATTCCACTATCAGCCACGGCAGGATTTGAACCCATGTCCTGAGAGCATTACCTGAGTTTCTGGATTAATAGTCTGGCAGTAATACCACTAATGTTGCCTAGCTAATATTTTTAAACAAAGGAGAGCTGTAAAAATATAGTTCTTCATGTCTTTGCACCTAAAACAAAAAAAAAAGCTGAGTGTTTAGTCACCTCAAGGGCCAAGCAATGTGCAATTAATAGAAAACCATAATGTGGAATGTGGCTGGTTTTATGGATGGAGCAAGCTTCTGTGCTTTTTTTTGTTTAACTAACTGAAAGGTTCATCAAGCATTAGTTAGGCTAGCAATTTCTCTAACATCTATTACAAAGGCTTGGCCTGTTTCAGAAAATTTAATATTTTTTTTTAAAATACACAGTCTTGCAGAAACTTGTGTTCTAAATGTAAACGTATTATCGCAGAGTACAGTGACCACTAGAATCTTTTAGAAAAGGCTGTGGCATAAAAACTGAATTGGTTCTACAAAGGGAGTATGGATGGAGTATAGTGCAGTATGTAGGAGTGAGGATAGGCAAGAATTCTTGAAGGTGATCAAATGAGAAAGTGGAAGAATAAGCCTTTAATGGAACTGGTTTCCTGGGACCAGCAATTTTCCAACTTATTTCAAGACTGCCCCATGTTTGCAGACAGTAAAGACACTCTGGACGCTCTGGCTGTCATTTATCACACTAAAGTGACTTAGGAGAGATTCCGCCTGATGGACTGAGCACAGGCAGTCATTTCTAAAGAAATCAAATTAAGATAAATTTTACATTTTTTCTGAAAAATAGAGGTATAACTTTAAATAAAACAGCTTCCTTGATTTCTAAATAATTTGAAGCACCTGAAATGTCAAATTAAGATAATTGCACTCTGTTTGCTCCAATTCCACCATTGTTACTATTTTGTAAGGTGAGGAATACATCATTCATTTGGACTGATGCCTGTGTCTGTAGAAACTACTTGTTTTCCAATCACAGCTGTTATGGCAGATGTCAGCCAGGATGTTCAGTCTGGTTGATATAAGATGGCATGCATGACAAAGAATTTTATTTGTGTTTTCAACACTGCATGGAATTAACTATGTAAATTCTTCAGAAATGAATGCTCAACCTGTTAATATCTAATTTGTTTTATTTTTACAAATGAATAGACTGGCTGAATTATGGAGCTACGGTCTCACCTCCAGGTTTGACTGGTTAGTTTGCTGTTGTAATGATCCTCCCAAAGTAGAACCAAACTGAACTGGAACAAGTGGAACGTTTTATCAAGGTCTAAAAGTTTGTTCTAACCTTGCAGAACTTTGTACATCCATGGTCACACGAAGTTGGATTTCACAGCTTGGCACACTGCCATCAGGAAAGCAGCAGGTACAGATGGTAATGCTCTCCGAGACCAGCAGCTCAGCAAAAATGACATTCCCATCATCGTGGACAGCTGCATAGCGTTTGTTACACAGTATGGTAAGCAAACTCATTCTACAGGGTGTCACCACAAGTCACACAGATTTGCTTCTTTAATGCCAGAAGCAATTCCATCCATATGTTTTATAGTCTTGAAATATTTTGTTTGACAAATGTGACAACAGATTTTAGTATAAGCTAGTTCTATTGTGATATCTATAACTGACAGATTGTAAGGTTCGTTTGGAACTGGAACTGTTTAGGCTAGGTGCTTTAATTGTTAACACATGGGCCTCCAACACACCAAGGCATTTTTTTTTCAACTTTCAAAACCTTATTCTTCATATTTTCTGCAAATAGCTGTAAATAGACCTCTTTGGAAGGAGGAGTGATGTGTGGTTTAAAATTTTGAATTGTCAATATTGCTGTGAAGGTAGAGAGGTGCAGTTGTAGCCCAGGACCAGTTGTGACTATTAAGTTGCAGAATAGGCTTAATGGACCATATTTTGTGTGTGTGTGTGTGATCTAAATCAGACCATTGTGTTTGTGAGATCTTCCCAAACTGTGCGTGGACATTCCATTCTGCCTTACCAGGCTTCTAAGCTGCTTAAAACCAGTTTTGTGTTTTTATTTCCTGCATCATTTTGTTTTTTTTTCAATTTGTCCATTCTCTGTGCCTCATAAATGTTTTTTTGTTTCTTGATCTTTCACAGTTAAGTCTCCTACTGCCTCACATTAATGTAATGCCTGCCATTTAACCCTCTTCCAGTTTCCACTGAAGCATTTTATTGGGCATTCCATTCTAATTTATTTCTCTTTGATATTTCATTCTCTCCCCTTTTTTCTGTTCATGTTTAAAATGTTCATTTTGGCCTTGAAGAAGGTCCACAATTGCCATCAGAATTATTTTTTGCCACTTTGCCACAATGTTTCCACAATGTTTGCTTTACTCTGACGGATTATTCTGCTGATTTGAGGAATGTCAAAAACAAATGTCTGTATCAAGTAGTCTCTGCTCATGTGGAGAATAGCCTAGCTATAATGTGAAATTTCTAGTGGCTGTGTCTCATCTTGAAATTTGGAAGAACATGCCCCAGTACACTATTTTGACATTTCCAATTCCCACAGTGTGTGTTTTACAGTCTCCCAGAGTGCGACTGATAAATTAGTGCTGAATTATAGGAATTTTTGTGCTGTAAACTTGAAGCCGCTGTAAAATACATCAAGAACACTCAAACCATATTTATTTGAGATCTTTGGCTTTGACAACAACAGCATCTATATATAGCTATTGCTTCCACAGCAGAAATAATATGAATCTTTAAAATTGGGTGAAGTAATAAAAAAAGTTTTACAGACAAACTGCAGGTTTTGAAAATTATACAATTAGCAAAGGAAGAATTGGACCTTGATTGATTAAATTAATGTAGATATCAGTGTCGTGTAAAATATAAACATCTTGATTTTATAATAGGTATGACTCCAAACAATGGAGTGTTTTTCTTTGAATCACATTGACTCCAGTTTTCATGGGGCTGCTTGATACCATACTTGGTTGAAAGCTAGCTGTTTGACAAGGTCAATTTGTCTCACCTTACATCTGAAGTCAGCTTTTTTTGTACATATTTTACCAAGGCTGTAATGAACTCAAGGTCATGTAGCTCTGGTGGAACCCAACCTGAGTGTCTTTGAGCCGGTTATTCTTTTGCAAGTGCCACTTTATATGATTGTTTGTGATCTTTTCCATCATTTTGCTGAGATTGAGAGGATACTGATAAGGTTGCAATTGGAACAGTTGGCTTCTTCCTATTTGCCCTCTGGATGGAGACAAGTGCTCTTTGATATTGTTAAAAGTAGGTATAAATGTGTGTAAAAAGTGCATTGACTCATTACCATCAAGCGCATTGGAACTGTCAACAAACCTGTCATATCAATTGTCAAAACGTTTAGAAGCTCTGGACAATGGATGGGGGTGACATGAAGATAATATCAAAACTGTCAGATGGGAAAGTCAGAAGGGCCTGTAAAATGGAGCTGTCACGCATATTAAAATGTTTAAAAGTTGTCATTTGGAAGTAGAAAACTTGAGCATGGTTAAAAATAGACTTTTTTTGAAAGCTGTTTGTCTTGCACTCAACAGGACGTTTTGCAGGGAAACCAATTTTATGGGAAAACCTATTTTATACTGCACAAGAGGAGAGTGCTAATTGGTTGACAAGTGAACAATGATTGGTAGAGGCACTGCCATGGCAACTATGCCAGCTACTGCTGATTAACTGTTCACTGCTAGACTTTGTTTATATTTTAATCCACACAGGTTTGGTCAGGACATAGCCCTGGAAAATGAACCTGCAACTGGCTATCGCCAGTTTTGCCAAGTTGAAATAGTTGCAATGCATGCACATGTTCTTTCTATCTGTGATGAACAGGACCCTATGTATTAGTATTATGTGACTTCCACCACACACAAGTCCACAATACTGACAATAGAATGATAATTTTTAGTAGGTTTTCAGCATAATTCTTTGCACACACAGGATTATCCAGTGAACGTTGTCCAACTACAGGATCTCACGTAATGCGGACACTGAGTTGTGCATTTTTTGAGTGTATGCTGCTTGGGTATGGTCTGTGCCATGCTTACTGTAAGCAGCCAAAGGGATAAGCTGTTTAATACAATCCGCCAGCACTATCTGGAGCACGATCTATGGCAATGCATCTATCAATCAGAGTGCCTTTGCCCACTGAGCAACACTTTTCTCTCATAGAATAAACCTTGGTTTTCTCCTTGAAGCAGTATTCTTGTGAACTGTCTTGATGAGTGCAAGATGAAAAGCTTCAACAAATTGTGCCATTTTCAATGATATTCAATATTTTTAAATCGCTGAAAGAATTCTGGATTTTTTTTTACAAAATGTATTACTTTCTTTCTCATGCTTTTTCTTTTAAGTCTGTTGACATAAGCTGGAGGACTTTCATGACTGGACTGTTGAATGACTGATAGTATAATCCTCCATTATCACAATGGTGACCCTTCCAATTCACAGATAGTTTTAGCCACAAGTGGTTTTTAACTCCTCAAAACCATTCCTGATGAAGGGTCCCTACCCGAAATGTCAACTTTCCTGATGCTGCCTGACCTGCCGTGTTCCTCCAGCTCCACACTGTTTCGACTCTGACTCCAGCAAATGCAGTTCTTGCTATCTCTGTAGTTTTGAACTCTTTGATATGAAATTATGAATTCGAAAGCCTATTGCATTTCACTTTATAACAGCAAATATTTCATTTTTGTTTTGTTTAAGGAATATAAATATGGTAAGTGTATTTTTTTTATGAATGAACTTTTTTTCAATATAGTGAAGTCTGCAATGTATGCGTAGAACCTTCTGGAAATATTTTCTTAATCTCACTGCAGATTCTGAGATCTGTCTTGGGGGACACTGGTAATTGTAAGGAAAGGGGTAGTGGCTACACAGGCATGAGTTGGTACGAAGTTAGATTTTTTTAAAGGACCATAGAATAGATAGGGGCATTGCTTGGTATACGAGCAAGAAGGAACCATGGAGTGTGGGAGGATTGGCATAGACTGTGGGTGGGCTGAGGGAATGATGTGACATGGGTAGGTATGGATGGGTTAGGGGGTTTATGTGGGGAGGTGCAGGCTAGAGTGGGCTTTTATCTTTTATTCTTTATTTTGAAATGTCGAAGACTGTGCCAGATCTCTGAGGTAGGCCGTTCAGCCACACTCCCTCTGCACCTGACCATCTTCACAGTTCTTCTTGAACTACTTGCCTTGACTTTTAATCCAGAATCCTCTGCCTCAACCTGGAAATCAAAAGAGCAGTCGTTTGAAAGGTCAAGTCCATGGAGCTTGCAGTTCGCCCAACTTGGGCGTGAAAATCCAAACCAGAATAACATTTCAGTCTGGCAACCTTTCATGAAGTCTGGAAAACATTAGACATATAACAGGGTTTGTGTAGTACAAAGGCAAGTAAAGGGAGCCAGTAGGAAAGAACAAAATGGAGTCTTTATGATATGTCACAATTAATTGCCTTGATGAAACTGCTAAAAAGATCAAAACTTTACATTTTTCTTCCGGCTAAAATGTAAGTGAGAAAGTACATTCTTTTTAAATTTCAGAAGTGATTACTAATTATATGCATTGATATTCTCTGACTTTGATGCTGAGTATTTTAGCATATTTCTGTACCCGTTATGACAATGTCTTTATCATTTGAACTTATCAATGCGGCCATGCTATGAACCTTCATTTAACAAAAACATTTCTAAATGTCTGTTGCATGGAGTCTTTAATTCTCCTTTTCCAAATAGGTTGGCATTCTGTTGTGTGTTTAATGAAATCCAACTCATTCATCATTAGGTCTTGGCTGTGAAAGGATTTACCAAAAAGGTGGCACACCATCACGAATTAACCTACTTCTAGATCAGTTCAGAAAAGATGCCAGAAATGTGAAGCTCAGAATTGGGGAACATCAGCTGGGTGATGTAACAAATGTGATGAAGAGATTTCTGTTCGAAATAGATGATGCTCTACTTACCAAGGAATTATATCCATATTGGTTATCTGCATTAGGTAATACAAAACATTTGTTTATTTTATCTTTTTTTTTGCAATGTGAACGAAATGAATGATACCTTATTCAATAAAAATGATCTTAATAGGACATAGATTCATTCTACAAACAAAATTGCTGATGGCTAAATCTCTGTACTAATGTTATTTGTCACAAATTTCACCAGTTGCATCATAAATTAAATGCTTGTATGAAAATTATAAAACCTTTTTTGCTTTCAACTGCATTCATTACAACAATCATGACATGTTGTAGCAAAATTCTTCCTTCCTTAAAAACCTAGACAATGCTGAGAAAAGTCATAAAGCCAAAACCTTTTGACTTGCACTCATCAGGACTGGGACTCAAGAAACTTAACTTTGAAAAGGAACATCAATTTATATAACATGAGAAGATGGTGCTAACTGGTTTGAATGTAGTTGGCTGGAACAAAATGGCGTAAGACAAAAAGACACAACCCTTGATTCCAAGGTTTATTTTATTATCTGACATAGAGCATAGAACATAGAACATTACAGCGCAGTACAGGCCCTTCGGCCCTCAATGTTGCGCCGACCTGTGACACCAATCTGAAGCCCGTCTAACCTACACTATTCCATTATCATCCATATGTTTATCCAATGACCATTTAAATGCCCTTAAAGTTGGCGAGTCTACTACTGTTGCAGGCAGGGCATTCCACGCCCTTACTACTCTCTGAGTAAAGAACCTGCCTCTGACATCTGTCCTATATCTATCACCCCTCAATTTAAAGCTATGTCCCCTCATGCTAGCCTTCACCATCCGAGGAAAAAGGCTCTCGCTGTCCACCCTGTCTAATACTCTGATTATCTTGTATGTCTCTATCAAGTCTCCTCTTAACCTTCTTCTATCTAACGAAAACAGCCTCAAGTCCCTCAGCCTTTCCTCGTAAGACCTTCCCTCCATACCTGGCAACATCCTGGTAAATCTCCTCTGCACCCTTTCCAATGCTTCCACATCCTTCCTATAATGCGGCGACCAGAACTGTACGCAATACTCCAAGTGCGGCCGCACCAGAGTTTTGTACAGCTGCAACATGACCTCATGGCTCCGAAACTCAATCCTTCTACCAATAAAACCTAACACACCGTACGCCTTCTTAACAACCCTATCAACCTCGGTGGCAACTTTCAGGGATCGATGCACATGGACACCGAGATCTCTCTGCTCATCCACGCTACCAAGAATCTTACCATTAGCCCAGTACTCTGTATTCCTGTTACTCCTTCCAAAGTGAATCACCTCACACTTTTCCACATTAAACTCCATTTGCCACCTCTCAGCCCAGCTCTGCAGCTTATCTATGTCCCCCTGTAACCTGCAACATCCTTCCGCACTATCCACAACTCCACCGACTTTAGTGTCATCTGCAAATTTACTAACCCATCCTTCTACGCCCTCATCCAGGTCATTTATAAAAATGACAAACAGCAGTGGCCCCAAAACAGATCCTTGCGGTACACCACTAGTAACTGAACTCCAGGATCAACATTTCCCATCAACCATCACCCTCTGTCTTCTTACATCTAGCCAATTTCTGATCCAAACCGCTAAATCACCCTCAATCCCATGCCTCCGTATTTTCTGCAATAGCCTACCATGGGGGACCTTATCAAACGCTTTACTGAAATCCATATACACCACATCAACCGCTTGACCCTCATCCACCTGTTTGGTCACCTTCTCAAAGAACTCAATAAGGTTTGTGAGGCACGACCTACCCTTCACAAAACCGTGTTGACTATCCCTAATCAAATTATTCTTTTCTAGGTGATTATAAATCCTATCTCTTATCTCTTATAATCCTTTCCAACACTTTACCCACAACCGAAGTAAGGCTCACTGGTCTATAATTACCAGGGTTGTCTCTACTCCCCTTCTTGAACAAGGGGACAACATTTGCTATCCTCCAGTCTTCTGGCACTATTCCTGTAGACAATGACGACATAAAGATCAAAGCCAAACGCTCTGCAATCTCCTCCGTAGCATCCCAGAGAATCCTAGGATAAATCCCATCCGGCCCAGGGGACTTATCTATTTTCACACTTCCCAGAATTGCTAATACCTCCTCCTTATCAACCTCAATCCCGTCTAGTCTAATAGCCTGTATCTCAGTATTCTCCTCAACAACATTGTTTTTTTCCTGTGTGAATACTGACGAAAAATATTCATTTAGCACCTCTCCTATCTCTTCGGACTCCACGCACAACTTCCCACTACTATCCTTGACTGGCCCTAATCTTACTCTAGTCATTCTTTTATTCCTGACATACCTATAGAAAGCTTTAGGGTTTTCCTTGATCCTATCTGCTAAAGACTTCTCATGTCCCCTCCTGGCTCTTCTTAACTCTCTCTTTCGGTCCTTCCTGGCTAATTTGTAACTCTCAAGCGCCCTAACTGAGCCTTCACGCCTCATCTTTACATAAGCCTCCTTCTTCCTCTTGACAAGAGATTCAACTTCTTTAGTTAACCATGGTTCCCTCGCTCAACCACTTCCTCCCTGCCTGACAGGTACATATTTATTAAGGACACGCAGTAGCTGTTCCTTGAACAAGCTTCACATTTCAATTGTGCCCAGCCCTTGCAGTTTCCTTCTCCATCCTATGCATCCTAAATCTTGCCTAATTGCCTCATAACTGCCTTTCCCCCAGCTATAACTCTTGCCCTGCGGTATATACCTATCCCTTTCCATCGCTCAAGTAAACGTAACCGAATTGTGGTCACTATCACCAAAGTGCTCACCTACCTCCAAATCTAACACCTGGCCTGATTCATTACCCAGTACCAAATCCAATGCGGCCTCACCTCTTGTTGGCCTATCTACATACTGTGTCAGGAAACCCTCCTGCACACATTGGACAAAAACTGACCCATCTGAAGTACTCGAACTATAGCGTTTCCAGTCAATATTTGGAAAGTTAGAAGTCCCCCATAACAGCTACCCTGTTACTTTCACTCCTATCCAGAATCATCTTTGCAATCTTTTCCTCTACATCTCTGGAACTTTTTGAAGGCCTGTAGAAAACTCCCAACAGGGTGACCTCTCCTTTCCTGTTTCTAACCTCAGCCCATACTCCCTCAGTAGACGAGTCCTCATCAAATGTCCTTTCTGCCACCGTTATACTGTCCTTGACTAACAATGCCACACCTCCCCCTCTTTTACCATTTTCCCTGATCTTACTGGAACATCTAAACCCTGGAACCTGCAACAACCATTCCTGTCCCTGCTCTCTCCATGTCTCCGAAATGGCCACAACATCGAAGTCCCAGGTACCAACCCATGCTGCAAGTTCACCCACCTTATTCCGGATGCTCCTGGCATTGAAGTAGACACACTTCAAACCACCTTCCTGCCTGCCAGTACACTCTCGCGACCTTAAAACCTTATTCATGACCTCACTCCTCTCATCCTCCTGTATACTGGAGCTACAATTCAGGTTCCCATCCCCCTGCTGAATTAGTTTAAACTCTCCCGAAGAGCATTAGCAAATATCCCCCCCAGGATATTGGTACCCCTCTGGTTCAGGTGTAGACCATCCCGTTTGTAGAGGTCCCACCTACCCCGGAATGAGCCCCAATTATCCAGGTATCTGAATCCCTCCCTCCTGCACCATCCCTGTAGCCACGTGTTCAACTGCTCTCTCTCCCTATTCCTCGCCTCGCTAGCACATGGCACGGGTAACAAACCAGAGATAGCAACTCTGTTTGTTCTAGCTCTAAGCTTCCACCCTAGCTCCTTGAATTTCTGCCTTACATCTCCATCCCTTTTCCTACCTATGTCGTTGGTGCCTATGTGGACCACGACTTGGGGCTGCTCCCCCTCCCCCTTATGGATCCCGAAAACACGATCCGAGACATCTCGGACCCTGGCACCTGGGAGGCAACACACCAACCACGAGTCTCTCTCGTTCCCACAGAATCTCCTATCTGTCCCCCTAACTATGGAGTCCCCAATGACTAATGCTGTCCTCCTCTTCCCCCCTTCCCTTCTGAGCAACAGGGACAGACTCTGTGCCAGAGACCTGTACCCCGTGGCTTACCCCTGGTAAGTCATTCCCCCCAACAGTATCCAAAACGGTATACTTGTTTTTGAGGGGAACGGCCACAGGGGATCCCTGCACTGTCTGCCTGTTCCCTTTCCGTCCCCTGACTGTAACCCATCTACCTTTTTCCTGTACCTGAGGTGTGACAACCTCCCTGTAACTCCTCTCAATTACCCCCTCAGCCTCCCGAATGATCCGAAGTTCATCCAGCTCCGGCTCCAGTTCCCTAACGCGTATGTGTCCTTGTTTGCTTAAGTTACTAATTTCTACAGCAGGATTGAAAAATCACAGTCATAGGTTATCTGCAGGCTCTTCTGGGAACAATTTCTTTGAGTGCTCACGAAACCTGATTTATGAGTACCTTTCTTGTCAGATATTGTTGTTGAGTTGGTGTTATACTCTAGTCTGGGAGCCAGTTAGCTTGGCAGGACAGCTGGTATGTGATACAGAGGGATGCCAACAGCATGGGTTCAAGTGCCACACTGACTGAGATCCATAAATGTTCCGCCTTCTTGATCGTTCCCCTTTCCTGAGGCTTGGTGACCATCAGGTTAAACCACCACCAGTCATCTCAGTCTAATGCGAGAGCATCCTTATGGTCATCTGGAACTATGGTGATTACTTCTACAGTTGTATACTCGGTGAGTTATGCAGATGTTCTCAGTATGTCAGGTAATAAATATGACCGACAACCATGCTTTATATAAGTTTTGTGTTTTTTTTAACACACATATATACATGGTATAGTGGAAGTTTTTAAACAGGGGGTTGCCTTTAGACATTTAGGGGTATGTGGTTAAAAGTAGCAAAAATGCAAGACTATGAATAAATAAAAACAGCAACAGAGGGTGGGATGGTGTCTCAGTGGTTAGCACTGCTGCCTCACAGCACCAGGGATTCGTGTTCAATTCCACCCTCGGGCAACTGTCTGTGTGGAGTTTGCACATTCTCCCCATGTCTGCGTGGGTTTCCTCCCACATCCCAAAGATGTCCAGGTTAGGTGGATTGCTAAATCATACTAAATTGCGCGTAGTGTCCAGGGATGTGTAGATTAGGTGGATTAGCCATGGGAAATGCAGGGTTACAGAGATAGGGTAGGGGGCTCAGTTTCGGTGGGATGCTGTTTGGAGAGTCAGTGTTG